GTGTGTGTGTGTGTGTGTGTGTGTGTGTGTGTGTGTGTGTGTGTGTGTATGAGTGTGGAGGCAGACCAGTTGGCCCTTGAGCTTTTTGGGATTCCTCTGTCTTCACCTCCCACTTCCCCACAGGAGCACTAGGGTTATAGATGTGAACTGCTTCATGTGGGTTCCTTTCTTGTTTTCAATTTTTATGTTGATAGGTATGTAGTATATGTTTTTAGTGGGGTTTTTATTGTTTGTTTAAAGTTTTCATCTTTATGAAACGTATTCTGTAGATTAAAAAGTGAGATTATTATATAATTTTACTATGAAAATTAAAGTCAGTTTCTGCCCAATACTCCCATCCTTTGAGATAATAACTATTACTTTTATGTAGCTGATTTTTTTGTTACTCATTCTAAGTATTTATATGCATATTTATTCATTTATATTTGAGGCAGGGTCTTGCTGTGTAGGTCAGGCTGGCCTTGGACCCACAGTCCTTTAGCTGTCTCAGCTTTCCAAGTGCTCTGTGTGTGTCATGCCCAGCACCTCCAGGTCCTTAGAGAACCTCTCTGTAATGCTGCTCTTTCTATTCTTTAGAATGACTTTATTTTTATGAGTTTTGCCTGCAAGTATGTATGTGTGCCAGGTACATGCCTGGTGCCTGTAGAAGTCAGAAGAAGGCATTAGATCTCTTGGAAATGGAGATATGGATGGTCGTGAACTACCATGTGGGTACTGGGAACCAAACCCAGGTCCTCTGCAAGAATAATAAGTGTACCTAACCACTGAGCCATCTCTCCAGCCCCTGCTTCTTTGTTTTTATGGAAGATGAGAATTTTCATTCTTTGTCTTCTTTCAGCCCTTGACAATTCATATCCATACGCATGATCGTTTTCTATTCTTTCTTCTTCATTGTAGAAAAATGTAGTTTTCAGATGAGTATTGATGTATTGTGTAGCAGCCTTATTAATGCTGTTCTTATCTGAACTGTAAAGTACAATTGGTTTTCTGCTCTTCTCTTTCTCTAGAACTAATCATTCTCATTCTCTCTCCCTCTCTTCCTCTGTGCCTCCTTGTCTGCCTCCCTGCCTCTGGATCTCTCTCTCCTTTGAGTGAGTTTGCCAAATACTCTCCGTCAGTTGAATAGTTAACCACTATTCTGATATTGTCTTGAAGTGGTCACAGGCATCAACTGTTTACTGATTTCAATCTGTTTAAAGAAATCTAAAACAGGATGTTGTTGTTTGTCTTCAGTTTTGGCTTTTTTTTTTTTTGTGTTGTTCAGGCTCTCTAGAGAAACAGAGCTAATGGGATTCACACACACACACACACACACACACACACACACACA